CCCCCCCCCCTCAAAAATCCAAATTCTTCTGTAATTGTCACATGATTTTTCCTCCTTGGCTTCAGACGGGTCTACCTGCAATTCAGGAAAGTCCTTTTTGAACGCGGATTGTCACTGTGAATATGGGCTGTCTCAAAATCTAGTCAGCTGCCTACTTAGACAGCGGTTTGGGCATCTTAGGGGGCGCGTTCTTGTGTTTAAAAGCTGCTAGACGTAGTGAAGCCGAATAGAACGCAAGGGTACCGAGGTGGGTTTCAAAAGTTATTAGCTTGACGCGAAACGCTGGAGACGCGACGCAAGCTCTGTGTGACGCATACATAAACCGAAAATCGTGCCTAGAAGAACGCGCCCGATGTGAACGCCCCCCCAGGGGTGTGCTAGTCAGCATTTTTTGGCATCATATCTCCCAAAAATGCCGTCTAGGTAAGACAGCTTACTACGTTTTGAAACACATCCGTTTGTCAGTGGAATGCGCGCTAAAGTGATTGTAAACCTAAAAGCTGTTTATAATCAACTAATACTGACAGTGAATGGAATTTACAGTACTTGCCAAGACTGGCCTAAGCAGATGAGTGTGTAGTTTTGAGTATCACATTAAAGAAAAACATCCAGTTTCAGGCAGAAAAGTACAAAACCTGTTTTAGAAGTTACAAGTGGTGTTAACTTTTTGAATAGCTGTGCAGGTATTTGACACTCCTCTCTCTTGGGCTCTGGAAGTTAGTCTTTTGTCTTCATAGGCAGAACCGGTTTATCAGGCCTTTCACGGTGTTGTGAGATATTGAGATTGCCTATAGTCCACATATTGCCATGGGAACCAGGTAAGTAAGTCAAAGTCCTGGAGAAAGACAGAATGGTTTTAAAACACGTTTTAGGAGAATCAACCAAACTGGAATATAATTATCAACACACCTCCCACATAAACCTATTCATAGTTTCCCGTCATGTGCCTCGAAGACCTGGAGGGAAGAACATCCAGAACTGCAGCACAAGCATGTCAGTTTTCCCTCTGTTTCCAAGCCACAAATATTTAGATCACCGCTCTCTCTTTTTTAATATATATAATGGTTTTCTCTGGGAAAACACTTGTGCATTACATTTATATTCTGGGTTCATCTGCTTGCCTGTACAAAATATGCATCATCAATAAGGTTTATGCTAAATTTGGTCTGCTAATATCACTTTTTTAATATATTATTTTTGTATAAAATATATAGGTAGCTTATATAAATAAAAAATGTATCATAAGATGAGATGAGTATAAAAATTGCAAGATGCAACTTATTCATACAATAATTCATAAAGGTGATATTTGCAGGTTCTGACAGTAACTAATAGGCCTACACTGAAGAAAAAAAAAAAGAAGTTGCAGAAATTGCAAGGCCATTTCACATTAATTACAAATAAACTACAAGTAACACTCTAAATTAAACGTGAAATTTTGAAATAGGAAGACTGAAATAGTGTTTTCTTTTAAAAACATGCTCCAATAATGTAGCTGCTGTATAGGTACATAAAAATAATGAAAGAAATACATCAATAAAACTCATAACTCGTCAATGATGCTTCACTGAATTAGAAAATCCAAACAAACAAAAATGTGATGGGCAACTGATTCAAATGGAAGAGGTGACCTGGAAATATAGGCAACTTGATGGAAAATGACAGCTATTGCTTTCAGTTATGCAAGGCAATAGAATAAAACCAACTTTAGAGCAAATTTGGCTTCTTGGTGCCCTGCGGAGGTCAACATGTTAATACTTTCAGTTTCATCTCAATATAATTTGCTGTAATATACCACAATAATAGTCCAGAGGTGAAATGACCAATGTTCATTTCACTTCCAGGATGAGGAGGATATGTTTTGGAGGGTATCACCATCTGTTCTGAAGGCCATTGTTGTGGAATTGCTGTTCGCTCCAAATGCAAATGCTAAATTGTTTCTTGGCAGGGCTCATACTCTGTTGAAAACGCAAAATGCAATACAATAAAGATGTTGATCCAGGCATACAAGGATTATTTAGCTTTGATATTAAAATTATTCAAATATTTTGGATTTGTTGAACCGCTTTAAATGGCATCAAATTGAAGCATGTGCTTCGATTTACAAGATTATGTTGGCTATGACTCTTTATTGCTTTTGTTCATGACCTATTTTCGGTGGAAAATGTATGTATCCTCTGTTTTTGCATTATAGATTTAAATGGTCATGAGATGTTGTGGCTTTTTGGTTACAAGAAGACACTGGGTCCTTATTGCCCTAAAGAATAGATGATGTTCTGTTAATGTGTATGTGTTCCTGGAAATCCTTACATTGTATCTCATTTAGCATTTTTGACTGGTCCAGTGTTAACTGGTGCTACAGTCTATAAAACAGCTATTTCAGATCTCAAATTTGATTGACTGAGCAACAGTTTGTGCATTTATGGTGGGGATTTTCCAGTCGCTCTTTCTGCAGGTTACGCCATTATGCCAGTAGATGGCAACAAGTGACTGCATTTAGGCTACATTTAATGAACCGATTCTTTCAAAACATTCATTCAGGAACGGAATTCATTCACTCAACTGATTCAAAAACACTTATGCTGTATCTGAAAGTATCTCCTATAAACTCATCCACTATTCCCTATATTACTCCACTAATGTAGTGCACTGAAAGTTAATGAAAACAAGTGAGTGAATTCAGACACTGAGTGCGCCAGAAATGTTGCAAGACGCCATATTCTGGCAAGACTGCGGGAATTCATTCTGCCCTCAGTGTATGGGTGTAAGCCTAACGGCTAGCCATTGAGTGTACATCGATTGTACACTCTTTATTGGTCTTTATGGGATTTTTAAAAATCACATTTCCTCACAGTTTTGGACACCTGAGAGTGCGTGCACGCCACAGAAAGTTCTGTCCCAGGTTGAAAATCGCCAAAACAGTGCAAGTTAAATTAAGATAGTACATACAATTTTGGTAGTAAAACATAGTGTTGCACATTTTATTGGCACAGAGATGAGTATATTTGTAAAACATTTACAACTGCTTTTTATCACTTCATTAGAAACACAATTAAATAATGTTGACTGTTGGACTACTGAACAGACATTTGGAAGTTTACTTTAAAGTACAAAGTATTGAAAATACAAAATGTGTAAATAAAGCACTATTAAAGCATTTTTTACAACACTATTGTAAGAGTGTCCCATCGGGTAATCAAAAGTTGTAGCCACACTTGTCTTAATGCGCACTAGAACACTTGGGACGAAATTCTAGAAATACATAATGTAATTAGACTAGTCGTCAAGTGCAAAGACTACAGGTGTGGGGATTGGGACAGGCCCATGGAGTCAGACACCACTACAAATGGCAGTCCCCTAAAATAGTGCATTCTATATAGGTTTTTAGGAGGTTGCATCTGAATATGCATACTTCTCTAAATAGGTGAAAAACAGCATGTGAAAAGGCTAGTATATCCGAATTCATAGTATTCATGAAACAACAGGCAAAAAGTACCTGCATGACCTACTACCTCTGTAGAAGATTCTGAAGAGTGCATCCAGTGGACACTTTACTATCCCATGAGGCCACAGTAGAGGATTTGTGTGTAGTAGTGAAACTAAGCAACTAAAGCTGGTAGGTCCCATGACCAAGACAACATGGCAAATCTAGTACATCCAAATTACATGCATTCATACTATATAGAACATACTTTTTTAGGGGTTGAGGAGGGGTTGTAATTTCTTCATTATTTAAATGTTTACTACATGACTCGAGGTGTGTTATCATTACTATCAACCTTTTACACTATTTCCTTGTTGTTGGTTCTTGTTACAACAAAAAATGCATAGTAAAACCACAGCTGAGATGAATTCTGACACACTACTACACCGTGAACAATGGCTCAGTCATGAGTGGGCCAGTGCTACTGTTTGTCACATCCTGTTTTGCTGTATGGAGACACCGTCTGACAAACAATGACACTTCACTTGACAGGT